AGCACACGAAGTCCCTTCTGTTGGAGTTGTTTACCTCCACGAAGTCCCTGTTGGTGAAGTTCTTAACTTGAGCGGCCTCGAAAGAAAAGACGTAGAGCGCTCTACGGCTGAGAAAAACAAGTCCGAAGACGCAGGTGGAGGCATGAGCAAGAACTAGTTAGAATCTTTAAAATTAGACCAAACTGGACATCAGAAAGACGGAACTTGTCAATTATTTGCCTCACAAAAATGCTGCTTATAATGATGGATTTACCGCTTTGCAAAGCGCTGGAAGTGAACGAACATGTAGTGATCGTCGGGCAGCTCCAATTTCCTCCCAAAGACAAGCACTTGGCTGCTTGACCAAGACAAACTTTGACCTGAAACTATAATTTCGCGACTCCCTTTAAAGTAAGCGACGGCTACGCACCGTACAGGGCCGAAGTTATCGTCAGCACGGCAGCCTGACCCTTTACCTCTCAACTTCACAAGACATGGAGCTTGAACTGGCTCGCCGAGATCAGCACCCGATTTCTTGAGGTTCTTGAGGTACTTGACGGCATTCGTCTGAAATTCTGCACAAGCGCGATACCGATTTCCTTCCCTATTGTGCTCCATCATTATGACAGTTTCTTCTTGTGCTTTATCGTGTAGTTCCATCAATAGAATTTGTTCTGGTGAAAGCTCGGTTTTGATGCTCTCGTGTGATGGGAATAGTTCCACGAAATATGGAGAAAAGCTTTGTATGGCGCCTGGCAATGCTTTTTCGATGGCATCGTCTCTGCTCCACCAATTGGTTACTATGGTTCCGAGCTGTAGAGCTCTCGTATTCATCTTACTCGAGACGACACAAGCGACGCAGCAAGTTGCGTGGCCTGAGCGGCTCGTACGCCTGGCAGTTGATTGGTTCGACCAGGCGAAGTTGATTTTTCAGTCTGATCTGGTCGTGTTTGGTAAAAGGCTTCTCATCCGTAAAGTTGTTAGTAGACATTCATTAAATGGTAATCAGGGCATACTGAATAGTCCAGCAGCGTAAATTCTGTTCCCAACGTGCTCTTCCAACTCTACCAAGAGCTGAAACGTTTCCATTATAGACGTTCTCTTGGCTGCAATTGTGGAAAGCGCCAGGCGTTCCGGCAGAAACAAACGCAACATTCTATCGGCCTCGCCTGCCAATGGAGCTGCAATATCTACCACCATAAACACGATGCGGGTGAGAAATTCTGAAGGGTAGCTAGGGGCCTTTGAGACCTGATCTTCGTCTCGAGCTCGCATTGGCGGTGGCCCCAATTTCAGTAGGTCTCTGCAGCGCCTGATAAAGTCATCTATAGAATCGTGCGTATTTTCTGGCAAGCGAACTCTGCCAATCCATACCAGGAAGTTGCCCAAGACCTCGACGTCTTCTTCGTCCGGCAGATAGAATCGCCTCACTTTGCTCGAGGGGTTGGCCACGAGCGAGGATATAGTCTGCGTAGACCTACTTCCGCTCTGCCGTACAAAATCTTTCTCTGTCAGTATCGCGAAGGGCCGATCCATCGCTCAAGCGTTTCCGTGCTTTGGGCCGTGCGGCGCTTTTTGCGGTGCCAAAGGGAAGCATCCAGCGACTTCGGCTTACCCCACCTCATGCGGGGTGGCAAAACTTGAGAGGCGCGGCATGAGTTCAGGGTAGGTCTACAAACGGCAGCTGTTCGGCGCTCCAAGAAAATAAACAATTGAATCGGTTGATTATAACACAGCTAAAGGTTTCTTTTTTCTGGCAGTCAAAAAAATAGAGGGCCCGTGCCAGCTCGCTGACATCTGACGCCGTCCCGCGGCACACAACCGCCGTCTTGCTTTCGCCTCTATACACGGCTCCCTCCAACGTTCCCATAAGCATGCAGACTTTGCAACCATCGAACGGCTGTGATTGTCTTGATGCAGTTCCGTAGAGTAGGGCTTCGTACAATATGCCACGCCGAGGAACCCAAATATGGTAGAAAGAGAAGCTGCCAATTGTTAGTCTCATCAAGTTGTTCGCGGACGGTCCAGCTCACAAATTGTAGGCTCGGTAATCCCATCACAACAATAGATGCGATTATAATGAAAATTTGACAAAGTGCGAGTACGCACACATCATGGGGCAGGCGGCGGCCACCTTCCACGTTGATGGTAGACCACCACAGAAATAGCAGTAACCCAATGGCGTTCACAATGCAACCAATACCGATCAAGATGTTTGTCAAACGGCTGTAAAGCCCGAAAAGTGCAAGAAAAGACCCCGCAAGCGAGAGTGAACACCCGGCAACGGGAAAAAGAGGGTATCCAAGCAACGCATCGCACCAATACTTTTTCACTCCGTCATACGCCGTCCAAGACAGAACCATCTGCGCTCATGTTAGTTGCACAAGGGGGGAGATGAACAGGGAATGTACCTCGCTCGATAATCCAAGAACCATTGTGAAGCCTACTATACACCGTTCTGTCCTTTCTGACCACGTCGCAAAGAGTGGAAGCAGAGCTAGTAGCGAAAGCACGGCGACGGCCCCGAGTACACATGTGAACACCAATGGATGGGAGTCTATCAGCGGCTTCACGCCGGTCTGTTGTTCATTATGCGCCCTCGATTTTGCCCACGCTGCCCATCCCGCCAGCAGACATTGGCCGGCGTTTAAGACGAGAAAAGAGACGATGCAGACGAGTAGAGGTATTCGTTCCATACTGAAACCGAGAATATGTAGAGAGTTGGCGTCTCGAGGAAAAACGCAAAGAGGGTAGATGCCATGCTGCGTCAGTATTGAACTGACGCTCATTCCAGCTAACACCTCATGGTGCAGCCAAAATACATGTCTTATCTGCCTCCCCAGTGGGTTCCACTCTTTGCAATACAGGAATAGTGCAAGGGATGTCAGCAGGATCATGGCCAAGGTGCCAAATGAAGTACCTCTGATGAGGTCAAAGGCCGCGGAACCGTGCCTCGACGTGGACCCTAATTGTATGGACTCGCATGCAGAAGTACAGAGCTCGTTCCGGGCCCGACGGTTGCAGATACTGCGCCAACCAGAGTGAGATGCGCCTCTAACACAGGGGTTGCCACGGCCCGGCAAGCCGAGTAGTGTCTTGTTCAGCTATGATATGTCCATCGACTACGCGCCGCTCAGGCGTGAGTGGTATGATAGCTCGCATTCGTTCTGTAGGCAGATGGCACGGTACGACAACCACCAGCAAGGGCCCGACCATCTAGTCGATGTAGGGGACAGCCGAAGCACCGCCATAGCTGCTAAAACTGGCTCGGAGTAAACCGTCCTAGTCATACTTGCTTTTCCTCTCTATCGATTCGTGCCTCCGGCTATTCAATTGTGGTGCACAATACTGAACCCAGATGGTGCCGGTGCGCCTTCCATAGAAAGCGAGAGCTCTGCAGTCGATTCCTATATCTACGAATCTATCACCTCCTCATTTTATCGAACTGAGAGTTTGCCATTGACTGCCAGTAGTCAACCTCACAGCTGCAACTTGTCCAAGAGAGCTATCTGCACCTTTGCGAGAATTATGGTGCAGTCCATACGGCAAAAAGCAGGACCTCATATACTGAGCCTTGCATCGTCAGGGAGCGATGTATTTCTTTCAAGACGTCGGGTGCAGGAAACGGTCTGGTATGGCCTGGTGGCGCCGGAGAGCCAGCAGACTCCGCTGATGTCCCAGCTACTGAATAGTACCTCACCAAGCCTCCTCTACTATGGGTACCCTAGGTCTCACGCCGAGGCCGGCTGGTCTCAGTTTGCCCTTAGACGTGCAGCGCGGCGTCCAATGAATTGAAATTGCACTAGTGAATGCGCCGAGGGTGTCTGCACAAATCCGCCATGGCGCGGGGCTACGGAGGTGCTGTGATCTTAGTTGTATAGCTTTGCTTCTGTCATGCAAGTTCAATCTGTCTAGAGAAGAAATAATGCGCCCGGGACTGCCCAGGGCTTCTGTCGTACCTCATGTCTACCAGCTGCTGATAATTCGGCGTAAGGGGGCGAGACGGCCGGCGGACACAGCCCACAACACGATGCTCGAATCCCACCTTTCCGTTATAAGAGATTGTGGATACTCCAGAACATGGCGCCGCGCCACGTTCCACAGACGAAACACTATTTTCGGCTGTACGTGTGCCACGCCCCCACACTCCACCACAGAGTGTGGGGCCGTGGCACCTGTGTGGAGTGCCATAATAGGCTCTTGGCCATCCGATCAGTGACTGTCTAACGTTAGAAGCCAGTCTGCTATAACGCAAAAGGCTGCTTGGCCCGCCCTCGTCTATCCGTCGGGGTATATTCCGGGCCAGTGTCGAGACCTGCAATTTACAAGGCCGATTTGAAACTCACAGGTGCGTGCAGAAAAGCCAAGACATGGTGATTCCTAGCGTCCCGCCACCACACCTCGACAGGAGCAGGGTCTGTCAGTACCTATCATTTATCCGCGCTCACAACCCATCTGATTCAGACTAAACCCCACATCTTATTTCACCCTGGCTGCCTTGCCTTTCCAACACGTATTTGTCGAATCGCCCCTCTCCGAGACTCATCACCGATTAAGCAACTGCCTTCTTCCGGAGTCGTCTTTGCCTTCTTCACCTCAGCTCCCTATTTCCTTTATTGAACTACTTCATCTCCTGTCATACGCAATGGGACGTGTCCGCCTCACTTGTAACCAGTGCGGCAAAGTGAGCTCTTCGTCGATGCCCATTAATATACTCTCATCATTGCTAACGGCTCTCATGACAGAGCTTCGGCCGGAGGGAGACCTTGGACCAACACTATAATGTTCACACTGGCGAGAAACCTTTTAAGTGTCAAGACTGCGATCAAGTCTTCTCTAACGTATGGCACACTGGGACATCCGCATCCCTCATTAGTCATTGACACCCTCTTTAGTCCGCAAACTTAAGAAGGCACAAAAGACGCCAACACCCGCGCGACCCCCCCGCTAACGAAAGTTCGGGCGTCTCATCCTACTCCTCCATCATACGTGATGCTTCTCGCTCTCCTACCCAGCCTGCCATGTCTGGGCCCGTCTGCGACATTGCGCCCGGCCTGTCCACGCCTCAGGTCGACGCCTCCTTCCCCAAAAATAGCCAGCAGACATATCAATCATACATGCAAAACGTCGACGACTCTTCTGATTCGCAACAACATGCCATGACTCAGCGCAGCCACTCCATTCGGCCGGCTTCATCTGTTGTTGAGCACAGCGAACCGGGCGCCACTGCCATGAGCACCAACGTCCAGAGCAGCACCGTCGAGTTGGCTTTATTTAACCACGGCTTGGTCACACCAGGCCAGAGCCCTGACTCCATCGATGTGAGCAACTACACACCTCCAGCTCCGTGGGACACAAGTATGTCTGTCAAACCTACTACCTGTGCAAATTCATGCCCCTTTTTATTATCTTAATCGGCCTTCCTGTGCGTCTGTCAATGAGCAGTTTCAATTGATCAGCCAGGCGTTCTCACCCGCCCCTGTTCCCGCAAGCTAGTTTAATCTAGCTTTATTGATTGACGACTACAAACTCTAAAAGACACGCACGTGGAAAGATAGCCTGTCTGCCTTCCGCAGCCTCAGGCTTTTTTCCCTGGACACGGAGAGGCCCTACCTAATAATATGAAGCTGATTACTCTTGTGTGCAGATCTCGCTCTAAACTCTGCCGACATTTCTGTCACGTTTGATTCGCAGCCGCAGCATGTTATGTTTGCTGTCGAAGAAGGGCAACAGTTAT